TGGCCTGCAATTTGCTAATTTTTATTAAAGGTAATAGTTGGGGTAACAATGGGGTGTCTTTAAGAACTGGGAAATATGGTTTTCCTCTGACTCAGGTTAAAAAGAGCAGTTACCACAGCAAGAGCGACTGGAAGGCTTCCAAGGCAGCCTGTGCCCTGATCACGATATTCACGTACAAGAAGACTGAAAATCAGACTGCCAGTCATCAAAAATCTAAATACTTAGAGGTGGTTGATAAGTAATCATGATACCCAAGCCCCCAGTGCTCCTACTCTCTCCCAGACACCCTGGAACTCCCCACAATCCAGCAGTTGGCAGAGCAGGGAGCCTCCAACAGTGCCCCTCCTGCTGGCACTCTGCTTGACTGGAGGCCATGGCGTACGGGTTGTTATACATTTAGAATACCCTCCCTAAATCATCCACTCAAGTAAGTTTAATCACTGATGTATCCTCAGAAAAGGCAGCATCCAAAAGATACAGTGTGCCCAATAGAACATTTCCTGGGGTTGAAGATACGCTGTTATGCCCCCCATGATACACAAAAGGAGGCTGCAGACTTTGGGACCTTAACATCTTTTAACATTCAAATCCCACAGCATCCCCTGTTTTGATTTCCAGCTCACCAAGCTGGGTGGGCAGACACTGGCATGGACTAGGCTTACCAGTTACAGTTGTCATTGTGAATGAAGATTGACATTCTGATTTTACAGGCTAGTCTCTTGAGAGCTCACCCCAAGGGCAGGTTGGTATGAGTGAGCATCCTCCAGTCCAAAGGCTGCCTCTCCACTGTGCTCAATTCCCCATGGGGAATGCCACCCAGTAAGAGGTGGGAGGAGCCAGCCAGTCTCTCCAATAACCCCTCTCTGCTTATACAGGCTTATCCCTGGTAACTTCTGTCATCATCAGTAGTTATTGAACATTAGTTTTCTATATTAATACATCATGTCATTGTCTTTAAACAGCGATGAAACTTGTAACAGTTGTTTCAACCTTCTCTGAAGCTCATTTTAACATCAAGAAGCAATCTCTAACCTGCAGGGCTGGGACTAGGGTGAAGTGAGTAAGATGGTTAGAGTGCAAAATTTAAGGAGGCATTCACTCTCAGGGTCCTGCCAGTGCCCTGAGCATATTTTAGGTCAGCTTTGTTGTGTCACCTGTATCTCCAGCTCCAGTGAAGAAGGGAAGTCACTGGTGATGACATCAGCTGAGCTTACGGAAGGTGAGAAGGAGAACCAAGTTCTTGACTTTTCTCTTCTCTCCTTTTTGTCATTAACATTATTGGAAAAACATGTTCTATGCCAGCAGCCTCTTCCTCCTCTTTTATTCACACTTTTATCTATTTTCACCATTTTATAGAAATTACTAAGATCACAATATGCAAAATTTGTTGGCCTTATTTTAGCTTTTCTCTAAATAGTATCTCCTCAGCTATTGACATTGACAGTGGGAAAAGTTTTGTGTCTCATTCACCATGTTTTTATCAGCATCTATTACAGATCACAGCGATTGGCTCCTAGAAAGCATTAAGTAAGTTTTTATTGAAAAAATAACTTCTTTTATTGACAAAAGACACAAAATCATTCCCCTTTTGTTGTGTTCTCACAGCATTTTGTTCATGGGATCTTGTACATCATTCATATTTACTCATCTGTGTTCCGGAGGGATTGAGAGCAACAACTGTGTCTCATAGTTCTTTGTATCCCAGTCTAGCAAAGGGCCTGACATATAATAGGTGTTCAGTAAAAGTTTATGGAATAAATAAAATTGGTGGCTAATGACACAATGACGATGTTCTAGTTACTCCAGTGATTTGTGATGAATCATTTCAAAATAATAGTGCTGATATGGTTTGGCTGTGGCCCCACCGAAATCTTATCTTGAATTGTAGCTCCCATAACTCCCATGTGTTGTGGGAAGGACCTGGTGGGAGATAAGTGAATCACGGTGTGGTTTCCCCATGCTGTTCTCATGGTAGTGAATAAGTCTCACAAGATCTGATGATTTTATAAGGGGTTTCCCCTTTTTCTTGGCTCTCATTCTCTCGTATGCTGCCATGTAAGATGTGCCTTTTATGACTGTGAGGTCTCCCCAGCCACATGGAACTAAGAGTCCATTAAACCTCTTCTTTACTAAATACTCTATCTCTGGTATGTCTTTCTCAGCAGCACTAAAACCAACTAATATAGTGGGTTAAAACAATAATCACTCATTTCCTCTCACTTTTTCTGTTGGTCAGGAATCTAGGAAAAGCTAGGCTGGATAGCTCTCACTGCTTCAGTGACAGAGGGGAGAGGCCATTGATGTGGTTGCAGTCAGATGTCAGAGCTGCAGGAAACTGAAGGCTTGACTGGGGCTGGATGATCCCCTTCCAAAGTCGCTTACTCACACTGCTGGCAAGTTAGTGCTGCCTGTTGGTGAGGGAGCTCTGTTCCTCTCCTTGTGGGCCTCTCTACAAGTCTGCTTGAGTGTCCTCATGACATGGCAACCAGCTTCCCTGAGAGTAAGCAATCCCAAGGTGAAAGCTGTGATGCCTTTTATGACCTAGACTCAAAAGTCACATGCCATTTTATATCCCCCACATTTTGCTGGTCACACGGAACCCACATTCAGTGTGGGAGGCGACTGAATATCAGGAAGTGAGGATAATTAGGGCTGACTTGGAAACTGGGTACAATAGATGATTGACCATGAAAGAAAAATTTCAAATTAAGGCAAAGCTATTCTCCAGGCACACTTCTAAAGGTAATTGTAAGCTATGAAGCCTAGAAGAAATAGTTGTTGCCTGATTGGATGACCCTTATCTTTGAAGATATGGGCATCTGGATTAATTGTATTTCTCTCTGCCACTTATAGCAATACCTCAGTTCTCTCCTGATGAAGTTACTGACAGTCTATAAGGAATTAGTCTTTACCCATCCCCCAGACAGCACACCCAGCTCATAGAACACCAGACCAGAGTCTGGGGTTGGTTTAGGCTTAAGCAGCCTGGACTTTTCTTTGGGCAGGAACATGATTTTATTCCTCTGGTGCATTGAGGCTGCAATTAGTTTTAGGATAAAGTGCCAAATGTGTTTATCTGTATCCCCTGTGGCATGTCCCAAGGCCCAGTGACAGCAGGACTTCTGGTTCTGATGTATCCTCATAGAACCATCTGCACTCAGAGGAGCCTGGAGGAAACTCATCCCTGCCAACTGACCCTGGGGTCCTTTCACAAGATAGAAGGCAGAAACTCCAAGGAAGGCTGGAGGAAACCTGTGAGAATCATATTCCTTGGCTACAGATTTAATGACAAGTGCCCTTCTGAGCCGGGGGAGCGTCCAGTGTGTTTACTCATCCATTTTTTATTCCATTACTTGTAATGCTTCAGAAGAGATAAATTTTAAGGATCAAGAATAAAAAATAGAAATACATACTCAATGTAATAATTGGGAAAAAGGATTGTGGAATACATGTCTATTTTTATTCATGGAAAACAAGCCATTTTGGAGGGTAGGGGCAAATTTTTTTTTTGAAGTTAAATATTCCTATATATCCATGTTTACACTTTTTTTTTAATCAAAATATGGTCTAAATCCTGAATTATCCAAATAAGAACTCTAAACATTATTTCTGAATGTGTCATTTTTTAAATTTAAATATGGCTCTATTTTTAGTATACAGGCTGAATTTGTGTAAATGATGATTTACCAAATTCTTATATTAATTTTAACTTAGCTCCACTGACACCTTATTATGCACTAATTCAACACTAATAAATTCTATGGACCTTTTACCTTTCCTTTATTAACAACCTTAGTGCGATTAGTAAAAAGTCTTCAAGCTATGAAAACTCTCAGTATCAGTTATAAGTCTAGAGTTGGTCTCTGAATTGTAAACTATTTCTTAGGAATAAATTAGTTCTGTAAAAATGTTAAACACTCTTAGCAAATCATATTGCATGGATTCTAGAATGTACAATTTTTCAAATTTAAATATCTTTGAATTAAGATGCATCTGAGAATGATTCTTAGGTTCCATGAAATGCAGTACGTTATTGCTTTGGTGTATTAGCCAATGCTCCAGTGGCCTGGAAAAGGCTGTGAAGGTGCCTGACATATGTTGCTAGGTCAGTCATCTACTTCCTATCTGTTACTTTACCAAGAAATAATAAAACCAACAGAAAGAGCTACCAGAGAAAATGCAAACAGGGCTGCTTTTGATGAAAGAGGCTAAAGATTGGTTTTTGAAAATGAACCAGTAGCCAAAAACCTGAAACCAAATGCTCCGACCTGGTTTGTCCCTTACACACCTTGCATACCTGCTCCTGGCCACTCTGGCCTTAGGAGCTAATACTGTTCTTGTCTGGGGCCTTTGTCCATGCTAATTCCTTGGCCAAGGATGCTCTTCTCTCTGCTCTTTGTCAGGCTAATTTCTCTCCTGTCCTTCGTTTTCTTCCCTTTTATGTCACCTCCCCAGAGAAATTCTGACTCCCAGAGTAAATCCAAAACCCCATGATCTCACTTTGCCTTCATTGTACTTACAATTTCTAATTATGTTATTTTTGAATTTGCTAAACTGCTGTCTTCCTTAATATATTCTAAACCCCCTAGGTCAGGAGCTCTCCTTAGGGCAAGGTGACTTTCTATAATGGATGTTGTTGAAAGAAATTAAGTGAGAATAATAAAAATGAATGAACAAATAAACACCCCCAGCAGTACACGTACATCATATCCTGCTACTTTTTGATAAATTTGATTTAGAAGATTTGAAAGACCACACGGGTTCAGCAGAGTCCTGGCAGCAGTTTAGGTGCCAGTGAGGGAATTTAATTCATTTGCTACCAATATTTGATAGTAAAATATTTGACATTTTATATCTACAATAAAAAAAATGCACCTCCACTTTAGGAGGCTGGAGGTGGGCGAATCACCTGAGGTCAGGAGTTCGAGACCAGCCTCACCATCTCTACTAAAAGTACAAAAAATTAGCCATACATGGTGGTGCATGCCTGTAGTCCCAGCTATTCTACTTGGGAGGCTGAGGCAGGAGAATCGCTTGAACCCAGGAGGCAGAGGTTGCAGTTGGCCAAGATGGAGCCATTGCACTCCATTGAGAGACTCATCTCAAAAAAGGCAGAAATCTCTTTGCTACTACAAGTTCAGTTTAGTTGAAATTAGACATATGTGTATTTACTTCTGCATCTCATTTAAAACAACCTTGAAAGCTTTGGTTATGGTACACAGGTATTGCTTTAATTGGGTCATTTCTTTGAGAAGAAGAAGGAATTTTAAGGAAGAGGTAATGGAGAGCAGAGATATTTTTGCAGCAAGCCTTATAAAGATTAAAAAAAATGCAGAAAAACATTGGATTGCACAATTGCATTGTCCAAAAAGGAAGAAAGATTTTTGTAAGAGGGACTTTGGTGATGTTAGCAATGGGTGGGGATACAGGAGAAGATATCTCAGAATCATACAAAAAGTATAGAACATTTGCAGAAAGGAAGGAGGAAAAAAGCAATATATATAACATATTATTAACTTCTACCTTAAAAAAGGAAGATCCTGGGAATTTCCAGCAGGTCTTGTCTGGTCAGAAACTCTACATGAGTTTACACATGCTGCATCCTGCATGAAGATGTTGAGTTAAGGTGCTAGGAGGAAACTCCAGTCCAGGCCCTGCTCACTAAACCCTGGAGGAAGGGCACCTTATTCTCAAGAACACCAAGTTCCCATGGGTGCTAGTAGAGACCCTTGGCTATAGTCAACGGAAAAAAATATTACAGCACGTTATTATCAATTTCAGATGTTTCTTTAGAGAACCATCTTCATGGTATCACCCAGATACATAAGACTTATAAAGAGACTTAGACTCCCACACATAATAGTGGGAGACTTCATCAATATTAGACAGATCAACAAGACAGAAAATTAACAAGGATATCCAGGACTTGAACTCAGATCCCAAACAAGTAAACTTAATAAACATATATAGAACTCTCCACTTTAAATACACAAAATATACACTCTTACCATATCACACCTACTCACGGGCTTAAATGAAATATTGGTTGGCTGCTTGTTATTTTCATCCCTAATTTTTTTTTTCCTGTTTCCATGATTAAGCATAAAAGAGGTTTTCAATACTCATTTTTAGACTGCATTCTAGCCCAGGCAATAAAGCAACACTTCTGTTCTCTCTCCCTCTTCCTCTTTCTTCCTCTCCTTCATTCTTTATATATATATATATATATATATATATATAAAAGAAGAAGACCTTTCATGATGTGGCCTTGGGTCACTTTCTCAGCTGTATCTCCCCTCTCCCTTATCATGCTGTCACCCAGCTACCAGATCTGCCTTCCAGACTGAAAGGTTTATTCTGACAGCTATTGGCACTGCTGTTGGTAGTCAGCCCTCAGCTGTCATCCCTTTTTAGAACTGCATATATCCAATGGCTGATATATGTGAAGTTTCTGTAGAGAGCTGGTCCTGTCGTTTCAACTCAGGGTAGCACTGAAGGGCCAACTCAGCTTTAGAGCCACTGGTTGGGGTTTGGGTGAGGCCTCTGTTAAGACTATCGCAGCCCAACTTGTCTCTCCTCTCAATCTTATTTTGTTCCTTTCTCCTCCATACTACCTAGTAAGGGTAAACCTTCTGCTTACTAATATCTCTCTCTGAGAATCTGCTTCCGGGGGAAAATGACTTATAACAACTCTAGGGTTTGCCTTCCTGGCTCCAGCTATACTGAATGTTATTGAGTTTCTAGAATAAAGTCTTTCTCTCTTTTACCTTCAGGCTTGCGCCAGGAACACAAGCTAGAAGAAAGCCTTCTCTCATTTATATCCTATTTTTAAAATGTCCCCTTTTGAATGTATTCTCATAGTAACCTCATTTTAACCTATTCTTATTCCCTCATTGCAACACCTGTATTAGTCAGCACTATAACATCCCTAGATCATAAACTCTGTGTTAACTTTCGTATCCCTAGTGCCTGGCAAATAACAGGTTCTCAATAAACAATTGCTGAATTCATTTATCCATTAATTTTGGTAATAGGGTAGCTTCACCCAAGTGTCCCAAATCCGGTAGTGAAGACATGCTCTCTAACAGTGCAGTCTCCCTTCTTCCACTTTTTTACCAAAATTTATGTGAAGAGGGACGTTTCCTAGATGGAAATTACTCAACTTTGCTTGTTTGTTGTTTTTCTGTGTTTTTGTGATAAATCCCTTTCAGATATACACTTGTTCTTTACATATGTTAATATATTTAATTTGTTAAATATAGTATTGCCTGCCTGGGTACTATTGTCTTTCTTCAAGTGATTTTAATGTATTAGTTTGCATCTGATCTGCTTTTGTTGATTTTATCCTTCAATTTTTTCCCCAGATCTTGTGGGGGTGAGGAGTTTCTCTCTTTAGTTCCCATATTCTGGCTGCCAATTACAACATACCCCTGTGGTGGAGGGGACTGTGTCAACATTCTTATTGGTTTAATGTTCCTTTTCTGGTATACAATAGAACAAGTATGTTTTCATTTGTTTATAGCAATTAAATTGTTTTTTAGCAGAGTTGTTGCTTATACATGGAGAGAAATGATAATTTTATGAAAAAGGATCAATGGTAATGTAGAGATAATAAAAAGAGACAAGAAGTGGATTCAGAGATACCCTTCTTAAAGATAATTCAGTGGGAAAAAAAAGCCACTTCATTAATTAAAAAAAAAACAAAAAAAAAAACAAAACTGAAGATTAACTTTACCTGTAAAACAGTCATCCATTCCCATTCACAGTCCAGTGAGCATGCTACAGTTGGGTTTCAAGAGCTCACCACTGTACAGAACTGTTCTCAATAAGATCATCACCATTACCCAACTTCAAGGGCACTTTTCAGTTCTTCCTGCTTTTGACCTTACTGGTAAACACTTCCCCTTTTAAGTACCTGCCTCCGCTCTCTCCTTTTTTTCTCCTTTCATCCCGTCCCTGTACCTCCTGAGTCTCGTCTTACTCTTTCACTTCTTACATTCCTGAGCCCCTCTCTTTCTTCCTTTCTAAGCATGGTGAGTCCAAAACTCAGGTCTTTCTAGGCAGTCTTAGGAAACTTTCCCTTTCTCCCCTTATAGCAATTACTTTTATATACTATAATGTAACAGTGTTGTATTGTTTCTTAATTGTTTGAGTATTTGTCTCATTAGATTGTCAGCTGCTTCAGGGTAGAAATTGGGTTTTTGGCATTCCCAAGACACATAGAAGAGTCCACAAACAATAGTTACACAACAGTTGTGGACTTAATAAGTAAATACCTTGGAAGATACTTGTTTCTACATATAAATATACTTCTTTCTATATAAATTATTGTCAGAATTTGCCTTATTAATTTCAGAAAGTACTCTATACAAAGTAAACAATCACATTTAATATACTCTAGAACGATGTGTGCTTCTAATAGGTTTAATTAAAATAATCCATATGATAGCAAAAAAAATCTGGATTTTTCAGAAATTCTAGTACCAGTGGTGAAGGATATAATCCAACTATAGTTTTTTCATTTGGAAAATAAGCATATTTGTGTCTTTATTTTATAATTACCTTTGGTAAAGTCATAAAACTATGTTCTAAAGATATTTTAAAGTTATTGATTTGAAGAAACAATGTTTCTGCAAAAAGAAATTTCAAGTTACTTTTTCCTATAAAGATGTGTGATAGAAGATTCATCATTTTATTCTCGTTCTTAGTATAATAGAGATTAAATACCATGCAGAGATTAAATAGCATGACTAATATTTTAATTTAATTTAATCCAATAAATATTTCTTTATGTATAACATACCTAGCAACATAGAGACAATGATCTTTTTTGGGTAAAATAGACAATGGCTGGGTTTCAGCACCATTCTAGTTGTTTCTGATACACTTACTCTACCCATGCACTTTAAAAACTTTTAAACTAGAATATAATATTGCCACATAATTTTGGAAGACTGCTTTTCTGAGGAAGCCAAGCATGAAGACTGTGGACACTCTGCTGTTCTAATCTCAGAGTAACTTGTATGTGACTTTAATGAGAGATTATTGCAACTGATATGAGAATATCATACCACAGCACAGTTGTAATTTTTATCTCTGGTTCAGAAACTAGAAAAAAAATGTTTTTTTTCCAGTATATATAAGGCACAGATATAAAGGATAAGTGCAGTTTCAGTGATTTAATAGCTTATCTCTGGTTTAATGAAACTTACCTAAGAACGATAAAGTAATAGAAAAAGTTTGGACTGGGAAACTGGCATCACACAGTATGGTTCTGGCTCTTAGTGATGCCTTTGGGAAGATCATTTCATTCAGTTATTCATCTAAGTAACAACTGTTCCTCTAATGGCTTCTGTATGCCAGAACATGTTTGAGTTGGTATAGAAAAAATTCCAGGATGCCTTCATGGAATTTTCAGTTATCAGTGAAGTACAGTTGACCCTTGAACAATATGAGATTGAACTGTGTAGCTCCATGCATAAGCCTTAGATGTCTTCACTAGTGTGCTTCCTGTTCCTTCTCTACCTTTTCTACCTCTGTCACCCCTGCGAGAGCAAGACCAAGTCCTGCTTCTCCTCCTCCTCCTCTGCCAACTCAATGTGAAGATGATGACGATGAAGACCTTATGATGATCCCTTTTCACTTAATAAACAGTACTTTTTAAAATTCCTTATAATTTTCTTAATAGCATTTTTTTCTATAGCTCATTTTATTGTAAGAATGCAGTATATAACACATACATAAAACCACTTTAGGCCGGGCACGGTGGCTCACGCCTGTAATCCCAGCACTTTCAGAGGCCAAGGTGGGTGAATTACAAGGTCAAGAGGTCGAGACCATCCTGGCCAACATGGTGAAACCCCGTCTCTACTAAAAATACAAAAAAATTAGCTGGGCATGGTGGTACATGCCTGTAGTCCCAGCTACTCAGAGGCTGAGGCAGGAGAAT